CATTTATACTATAGTAAAAAAAGTATAATAAAAATCCATCTAATCACTAAACTCCTCATAACCATACAATTAATTAACTCGTCATTACCATATCATCAATTAAATCACAATGAGTTTATATAAAATCCCTAAATTCATCCTCAAATATCTCGATTTACCAAAATTATTCTTGCTTTGTGGTATCCATTGAAAATTTATACGATGAAGTCAAATCAATGTCCTAACAATTTCCCCTCAATAAATAAATAGACTGGAGTGAGCAAGAAATGAAAGTAAGCAAAATAAAAAGAAGAATAATGATATCTAAAACTAGTGGTACTAAAGCACCAGTTTAGATGGTTACATTTGATATGTTAAATTAAATGAATCAGATAACATTATATTTAAATGAATATATTATGTAATGTCATGTAGTTATCAGTTAAACTGGTGATTGATATCGGTAATGTTAAATAAGATTATTCTAAACGGAATTGGATCTCAGTTGTACATCATGTCGATTTTGTATCTTTCATCCGTTGTGTTGTAAATAATAAATAAGCATGGTTCTAAAATGCATGCATAGCTAGTGTTTAGGCGCGAAATAATTGAGTCAAATATTTTTTGTACATTAATTTTACTAATTTTTTGCTTTTCGCTTGAAAAATTAGATTTTTGTTTAAATTATTTTTTCTTAATTGTTTGAAATGAAATTTACCAAATAAATGAATGTTAATCTATTGCAAATGATTATTTACAACCATAAAAATCAAATTTATTTCAATATGCAAATAACAATGTCCCAATATTCCATTTTATGTCACAACAGAAAATAACCAATTACATAAAAACAAAAATTCATCAATGGAATTATTGGCTCCATAATATGAAAAAAAAAACTTTACCAATTCTAAAAATAGGATCAGTAAAAAGGGCATTGGTTCAAACCGAAAGATCTTGAGACGTCGGCGTTGACGTGAAAAAAAAAAAAGCTTGGTTGGCCACTATTGTCGGTGCGGACGAGGTAATTAAGGGTGTGTTTGATTCACATTATTTTGAAAAAATGTATTCTGGAATAGTAGATTGATGGAAAATTTGTAGTTGAAAAAGAAGGAAAAATTATTGATGTGATATAAAATATTATTTTATTGAAATATGTGTGGTTGAAAATGAGTAGAAGAGTGCGAATGAAAATTTTAATGTATACCAAATATAGGCTAAATTAGAGAATGGAATTATTTGCTAAAAATAACAAATCTATGTCTTCGGGAAAGAATGGGACTTAGGGCTTGAGAGAAGTTAGGAAGCAAAATTTTGAAGAAAAAAACTCTTGCAAATAGTGGGAAAGTGAAAAAAGAAATAATAATAATAATGTCAAAAATCTCTATGGGATCAGCTGACTCCATATGGACCCATGTGCATCCGGCCATGGCACGAACTTTGATCTTACCTTCTAGTTATGCTTTACGTTTTTTATGTTTAGGCTTTAGTCTATACCCATTTAAGCTCGTAAAAGCTTGAAGCATCACATTGTCACTCTATCATGTTTTATATTTTTTAGAACACTGCATACAAGATAAGTTTTCGATAAAATTTCGCAAATGTACAATATCCTTGCCAAATAATAATGAATGGGTGCAGTATCGTTTCTACGAAAACTAAATACTTAATCTAGTTTCCTATTAAACATAGCTTTAATCGAATAACCAGATTTTTGGAGGAGTTTTATATTAACAATCTAATATATATAAGTACTTAAATTCATATAACAATCTCTTAAGTACAATTAAACATATCTTCACATGTGATCTTCTTGTATCTCTATGAAATATACAAAGATGCATTAAATTTTAAAAAAAAAATCAAAAGAATCATGCAAAATGTAACGTATATCATATGATTGTTAATACTTGCCAAATTCCTATTATTCACTCAATATATTAGTGGAAATTATAAGACAATTCAATTAGTGATCAATTAATTGAAAAACATTAAGTTATTGATCATTCAAAATCAAACACATGTTTTAATATCGAAATTCGGAATCAAAACTTCAAAAGTATGGTTCGACGTTATCCTAGCATCTATACGATTAGTCAAGCATCAAACTAGTTACAAAAATATAATTGACATTGATGCAACATCACTGGGTATGAACAATTGGAAAGAATCTTGAAAGCCTTGAATTTTTTCAATGACTTCTTGATTAATCTCATTTGATTCTTCGTCTTCTTCTTCAATCCAAGCAATTGGTGTATGAAAGTAGGCTGGATATTTTTTCTAACAAGCCTTTATAAAGCTTTGAAAAATATATGGATTTGTAGAACAAAACTTCCTCTTTGGTTATTCTCTAAAAGAAATATGAATTTGAAATCCTAAGAGCCTGCTTTGGCTTGTATAATATGTGTATAATTAATCCATGTAAGCCTTATTTAAGTGTTAGATGAAGGTATGTTATAAAGTAAAATTTAGGTCAAAACACGTGCTACAATTGGTTACCAAAATGAAGTTTAATTGTAGGGATGGCAATGGGGCGGGTATGGAACAGGTCAACCATTCTCACCTCTGTCCTATCAAGTATTTTTGTTATACTGTCCCATCCCCATACCCGTTTAATGCGGGACGAGGCGGGGCTTTATTTATTTATTTTTTTTTATGTCTTTACTTAGTAAATATTATTATTTTTTTACTAACTTGTTAGAAATAACTTATGTTCTCTTTAAAAATATGATAAATCTATTATTTTTGTTTGATAAAAAACTTAAATTTAAAATTAACTTTAAACGGGACGGAGACTATGATTCTCGTACCCACCCCATACCCGCTTCGAGGCAATAACCCCCTCCTCGTCCCCGCCCCATTTACCCGATTAATTCTCGTCATGTTCGAGACGGGCTCACGAATTTCGGGTTGAACGTATTTTTTTGTCATCCCTATTTAATTGAACATCAAAATAAGTTCGTTTCTACAGAAAATCATGTTGTACGATCTCACAACCAACAGAAAATGCACATTGGTTGAATGTATTTTTTTGTCATCCCTATTTAATTGAACATCAAAATAAGTTCGTTTCTACCGAAAATCATGTTGTACGATCTCACAACCAACAGAAAATGCACATTG